CCCACAGGCCCCCACTCACTTCCAAAGACCCTCACTCACCCCCACAGGCCCCCACTCACTCACACAACCCCCCACTCATCCCCAAAGGGCCCCATCTAATGGTCTCTCCCTTCTTAGGGTCCTCCTGGCCACATGGGGCAAGAAGGCAGAGAAGGGGAGAAAGGTGCCAAGGTGAGTGCCTCCTGCCCAGGGAGGCGTCCCTGGCCTGACCCCTCAGCTAACAGTTGGGCCACCAGAATGAGGAGGGGCTCTGTGACCACCACAGGTGCCCCAATTCCCTCCCTTTCCCTGAAGGTTCTTGGTTAGGGGGTCAGGAGGCAGGTATTCCCTGACTCTCTGCCCCCTCCCTTGCTCCTGTCCATTTTAGGGGGAGCCAGGTCCTGATGGTCCCTTAGGGAGGACAGGCCCCGTGGGAGCTCGAGGGCCCCCTGGACATGTCGGGCCTGAGGGTCTTCGAGGGATCCCTGGGCCAGTGGTGAGTGGGGCAGGAGCAGGGATGGGGTTGGGGTGGGTCAGGCCCTCCCCGTGTGCTCACACTTTATAACTTCTCATCGCAGTTGGGAGGGGCTGACCCTGGTAGGGGTGGGGGCATCCTCACTGGGTTCTGGCAGCGTGCAGACCCCCATGTTCTGTTCCATCCCAGGGTGAACCAGGCCTCCTGGGACCTCCTGGACAGATGGGTCCTCCTGGCCCCCTGGTAAGAGACTTCTTTGTCTCTGAGGCCCTGGCACTAAGAACCACAGTGACCACCACGTGGCCATGGCGCTGCTGAGCAGGCTGACCCTTCACTGACTGTCGACCCTGACCATGTGTCCTACGTACCCTGGCCGCGCATCTTGATGATCTGCATTGGCCACCACACTGCTCTCCACCGCGGAGCATTCATATTGGCCACCCCCCAGCCAACCCTGTATTATCCTTCATCCCTCCTCCCTCCTGACCATCCCCACGGTCACATCCTGGCAATTTCCCTTTGAAATCTGGGAAATTTTCCGTTTGACGCCC